AAGTCCTTGAACACTAAGTCCTATATAGACATTGGTCAAAATTTCCCACCCCCATAACTCGGTCAAATCTCATCAGATTTTCACGAGGCTTGGATTTTTGTAACTTTTTGGGCCTCTAGATCAATTTGGCATCAAAATCTGAGAACATTATTTTCGGTCGAAACGGTACCCTCAAATATCCTATATAGACATAGGTTAAAATTTCCCACCCCCATAACTCGGTGAAATCTCATCAGATTTTCACGAGGTTTGGATTTTTGTCCCTGTTTTGGCCTCTAGATCAATTTGGCATCTAAATCTGGGAACATTATTTACGGTCGAAATTCATGTAAAAATGGTACTCTCAAATATCCTATATAGACATAGGTCAAAATTTCCCACCCCCATAACTCGGTCAAATCTCATCAGATTTCTACGAGGTTTGGATTTTTGTCCATGGTTTGGCCTCTAGATCAATATTGCATCTAAATCTGAGAACATTATTTTCGGTCGAAATTCATGTAAAAATGGCACCCTCAAATTTCCTATATAGACATAGGTTAAAATTTCCCACCCCCATAACTCGGTGAAATCTCATCAGATTTCTACGAGGTTTGGATTTTTGTCCCTGTTTTGGCCACTAGATCAATTTGGCATCAAAATCTGAGAACATTATTTTCGGTCGAAGTTCATGTAAAAACGGTACCCTCAAATATCCTATATAGACATAGGTCAAAATTTCCCAGCCCCATAACTCGGTCAAATCTCATAAGATTTTCACGAGGCTTGGCTTTTTATCCATGGTTTGACATCTAGATCAATCTGGCATCTAAATCTGGATACATGATTCTTGATCAATATTCATGTGTAAATGGTACCATCAAATATCCTATACAGACATAGGTCACAATTTCCCTCCCCCATAACTCGGTCAAAAATCAACCGATTTTCATAAGCTTTTGCTTTTTGTTCATGGTTTAACCTCTATATCAATTTGGCATCTAAATCTGGAAACATGATGCTTGGTCAAAATCCAAATTAAAGAAAAAGAATCCAATTAAAAGAAATGATGCATAATTGGGATACCTTCCCATCCTTTAAATCAAGGAAGTTGAGGCAATTAAATAGATTATACTGAATATACATTCTATATCTATATCCTATATACCTAAATCTTCCAACCCATAAAAAATCGCTCTAAATTGAATATAATATAAATGGGTAGAATCTGAAAAAGACTGCCAAATAAAGCTCTCGCTCTCTAGTTTATCTACATCTTCATCTTAAATATATTTTCTCTATAATTTCCAAAAAAAAAGTCCTACCTTATAAAAATGCGTACAAACCCAGTTTATATAGAACTTGGTCGAGCAACAAATTGGTAACATTAAAAACAAAAATAGAGAAAAACTGTTTTACGCATCGCTTTTTCGATTTATTTTCAAAACTGAATTTAGTGAAATATGGCAAAAAAAGTTGTAAATTGTCGGACAAAAAGTATTTTTGGAAAATTATGAGTGCCTGAGGCGGCGACGGCGGCGGCGGCGGCGTCTGCCTAAGCCTCGGAGCTCAGTTGCCAGTTGCCAGTCGCCACCTGCGTTTCCGTCTCCCTCTGGCGTCCGTCTTCCTCTGGCGTCCGTCTTCCTCTGGCGTCCGTCTCCCTCTGGCGTCCGTCTCCCTCTGGCGTCCGTCTCCTTCTGGCGTCCTCGCAGCCAGCGCGGCAGACAGCGACGAGCACGTCGCGCAACGGCGTAAACATAAAATGTATTTTTATAAATGCGGTGCAAATAGTTGCAACAACAACAACAACAACAACAAATAACAACAACTACAATCCCGGCCACGTCGAATGATTCATGCCACAAGCAGCCAGGCGACGGGCGCGTAGCCAACAACACGCACTGCCCCAACCCAACCCAACCCAAGCGGACAACCGATCTCTGGCAGGTCTGCCCCCCAATCGCGAAAAGATTGAACACCAACTAAAAATACGCTGCGCTCTATATAGATATACGCCAGCCAAATACACTATGAAACGCACATATATATAATATATATAATTATATATGTATGCATATCTGCCGAGTATATGTACCTGAACGGATATGCCAACTCGTATTGCAATTCGCAAATCATTTCGCTTCATTACAAATATATATTTATATGTTTTGCGCTTTTATTTCAATTTATTTGTTTTAAACGCATTTCATGAATGAATTTTCAGCATTTGCCATTTGATGCCATCTAAAAAATATAATCCTATATATATGTATATATTTATATATAAACAATGTCGTTTCATAGTTCTTTCGGATTCGAATTTAATGCCAAGCAGCGGAAATGCAAAGCGGAAGTTGACAACAATAAACAACATTTTAAGTACACATATGTATTTATTGTATTTGTTATTGTTATATGAAAAAGCACAGATATTAGTACGCTTTCGAAACTCTAGAATTATTTCTCTCACAAAATATTACACCATAATATACCCTAGTATTCCATTTCTCACTCCAAACTTCGCAGATATTATAATTCTTTGGCAGTGCTAGAAAGGTTCCCATTTACTTAAATGCTCTATAATATAGTCCTATATTATACTGAACTATACTCTATAATATTATACTATGTTTACTGAACTATACTCTATAATATTATACTATGTTATAATATAATACTCTATAATATTATACTATATTATACAGTACTATACCCTACTATTCCAATTCTTACTCCAAACTTCGGAGATATTATAATTCTTTCGCAATACTAGAATTATTTGTGGCTCGAAAGGGTTCCCATTTACTTAAATGCTCTTTAATATAGTACTATACTATATTCTATAATAATGTATAAGATTATACTATATCATTCTATATTATACTGGACTATACTCTATAATACTCTATAATATGATACTATACTCTTTATACTCTATATTATACTGTACTATACTCTATAATACTCCATAATATTATTATATTATATTATACTCTTCTCTACCATTCCCTTTCTCACTCCAAATACCAGAGTTAGTAGAAAAAGAAAACAATTACTTTGCGAAATTCAAGCGAATCGCATTTCTATAGAATTTCAAATGTTACACATAAATATTTGATTTGGATTTAACTGAAACTCGTTTTGCCCCCGGGCCAGCTCAATTAGCTAACCTCATTAAGAGCAGCCCACATTTGGTAGGCTTTCCCACAGTCATCTCATCATTTTCATCATTTATGCAGGCGGCCTGGCCTGCCTGCAAACACTTTTCCCAAGCCAAAAGGCAACAATCAAATCGAGACGCCAACGCAACACACACACACACAGAGACAACTATGCAAATTGGCCAAGACTGACTTACATAATGCTCGTCAGAGGCGTGCAACAGTTGACAACTGTTGTGGCAAATAACTGGAACGTGGTGGCATCTGATTTATTGTGAACTCATCCAAAACAATCTATTCAATGTAAATCACTCGCTTCTAAAATTGAGCAGCCTATGATAGAATAAAATAGAATAGAATATAACAGAGTGGAACGAGCAAGAGTGCTCTAGTTGGCAGTGCGCGACTAGGTGATACCCTCTACCTAACACTCAAACTTCCGTCTATACATAGACATAAAAAAGCACACATATACATACACACACACTCGCACATATACACACACAAGCACGCCGTAAGCTAAGCTGCGGTTATGCTTATCTTCTCTTGGGAAATGCATTCTTGATCAACTCGGGTATTTGTTGTCCGATCATTATTAAATTTTGAGAGCTTACAAATTGCATACGTAAGTGCTCGCATTCTAAGGCCCAACGCAGTATCTCTAAAAATGAGCTTATTTTTTCAGTTTTATCAAAACGGCGGGTAGTAATGCAAAATGTTGTATGTTTAAGGTATGTGAATACTCTACGAGAATCTAACTGTAATATTTGGTGTCTCTAGTAATATAAGCTCCAAAATATGATCGGAAATCTAATCTGAAAATCGATATTTATCGATTTCTTGGTAACAGAGCTGAGCAAAAGATGATTAATGCGGGCAATAGGATAACGTAGGCTCAAAATTTCAAGTTTCTCTCATAGCTCTCATAGTCTCACACAGACGGACGGAAGGACAGACAGACGAATAGGGCTAGATCGCCTCGGCTTAAGAATATATGTACATACTTCTTGGGGTTAGAGAAGCCACCTTCTGCCTGTTACAGAACTTTTGCACAAAGCCATTATATCATCTCTTTTTGAGATTCGAATAGAAAGGAATCAGAGCAAGCAGCATTAACTGTTAGTTTTCGCTAGTTATTCGTTATAGGGTAACTGCTAGTCTGGCATACTTACATAGAGTCTTCCATATGGCTTTGTTCGGTTTTCACATTTGAAACGCAAAATTTGTCGCCGTCAACTTTTTTGCGGTTGTTTCAAAAATCAATTATGGCAAACTCTCGGCCTGACTGAAGGACTGACAGACCGACGGAGTGACAGACTGACGGAGTGACAAACTGACAGACGCCGCTTGATTGCCATCCATTCATTCATGACTTGCGAGCGGGTTATGTGGGCAGCGGCCGGCCGGCTATGTAACAAGTTCCGCCTTCGTTTAAGCCAAATTTAGTAACTAACTAGCGCCAACGCACATACCAAACCGACCATGCGGTTGCTTGTCAACTATTTAATTGCGTTTGCAGTGGGCATATTAGTTTTGTTGCCGATTATGTAACATGCTGAAAGTTACACAATTATAAAAAAAAAAACCTACCTAAATAAACCTAGCTCTATAAAGTTCTTCTGTTCAAAACTCAGCTTTTTTTTCAAGAGTATCTCCTCTGTTCTCCCGCTCTGGACTAGAGTATCTCGTCTGTGGTATTTATATCAATATATGGAACTAAGTATATATGTATGTTGTTTGTATACATGTGCTTGTGTATTTTCATTGAGCTCGAGTAATTATTCGAAGCACCCACGCTGTGAAATACGAACAGGGATTCCAATTTATATTGGCTCTGACCAAACTGACCGGAAATTGTCATTTAAGTGTCTTGTTGTTTTATTGTTGTTGGCAGACAACAAAAACAATATAAATAAAAATAAAAAACGCTTTCCATTGATTTCAGACACATTGCCATTCGCGTTAAAAAGGCGTATGTGTTTAATTTACGGCACATCCTCAACAGAACGAGCTAAAAACCATCAACTCTTCAAATTGATATAAAAACGATAGCTATTGCAGTTGTGCAAGAGAGTAAATGCTGCTCTCTTCTTGTTAAAATGTGGCTTCAATTGTCCATTCAGTTTCTGTCTCTCTCTCTTTCTGTCTGGCTGGAGCCGCTGCCTCATTCATCATTTCATTGAGCGCATTTCATTAATTCACAATATGGCAACAACAACAACAACAGCATCGACGACAATAACCAGCTCGGCAACTGTCTCCAAAAAAAATTAAACACGCTTCTCCTAAAAAAAATAAAATAAAGAGCAACAAGCGGCAGACAGGCAATAAATTGTATGGAAACAAATCAATTACACATACACATACATACATTTACATTACTCTCTTGCTCTGGCGCTCTCAGCTGCTGGCATCTGCGCTCTTTTTAATTGCAGCCCCCACGATGCTGCGGCATTCAGTTATTATTGGCTGCTGTTATTGTTTTTATTTCTGTTGTTTCATTCATTTTGGCAGACGGCTTGCTTGTTTGTACAATGTGTAGAGTCTCTTTCCGTCTCTTTCTTTCACGCAAACACACACGCACATCTGCTCTCGTACAATAATTCATTTTATTGATCAAATAAACATTTGCTATACATTTCTATAAATTAAACACGACGCGGCAGGGCGTAACGGCAGCATCAGCAGCGGCAGCAGCAGCAGCAGATCAATGCCGCGCTTTCTATTCATAAAAATTAATTGCACTTGTTGCTGTCTGCCTGGCCGACTGTCTGCCAGCTTGCCTGCTATCTTTATCTGCAGGCCATGTGTTTAGCGGGGGCGTGCGTCACACGCACACACACACATGCCGAAGATTAACATAATTCACTTATAAAACCAATACGCACAATATTTATACCAATAACAATAATTCATTAGCAGCCCCTCAATTTAAATGATTGGCGAATTTCACACCAAAGGCCATTAAAGAATCGCATTCCGAAATATGAAAACCGCTTGAAAACAACATTAAATACAATACGATTAAATATAATGTGTGTTTCTATGTGTGTGTATGTGTGTGTTTGATTATGTGTGTTTATACAGAGCAGATCATTGCAAACGCTTGAAATCTCTTCTCATATTTTTATAGCTTAATTTCCCTCTTCCTCTGGATCTCTTTTAAGTTTTCACTTTAACTCTCTCTTTTTCTAGCATATTAAACTCTCCACCAATTGCATATATACATATATGAATGCATGTATTTGTGAATATGTAGTAGTGGGTGATCTCCACAAGCTACTACTCTTTTCAGCCTTTTCTTGGGGGCGTGAATACAAAATATCATCTCCTGCATGAAAATTTGAATTTAGAAAAATATCATGTTGGATTTTTAGTCTTAGTTTTCATGAATCAAAAGAATTTCTCTTTAAATGCTTTTTTTAAAGGGAAGTAGTTTAAAGTACAGCTAGCTACCAGGTCTTTTATGAACCGGGTAGCAGTAACAGTGGGTGCTCCTTCAATTAACCTCTCTGCATGCATATTGCAGTTTGGGCAGCCGCATTTCCATTACGCCACAGACTTGGCGCTGATTTATGGTGCGCAGTGTATATGGTTGCATATTTTTTTATGAGACGCAGTCGGAAAACCAAAAAAAAAAAAATGAAAAAGAAAACAGAAGAGAAGACAGTCAACATGGAATAACCACAGACATGGAGAGTTTCTGCTGCCGCAGTGGCAACGTCTGCGTTTGCTGTTGCAAGCACCGTTATGCAATTGGCCTGCAATCTCTGCTGTTGTTGGCAACTGCGGCTTCATTAACATTTGCCTCTCGTTGTCGTTAACGGCCAAATATAGCGTACTCGACGTCGACGTCGTCGTCGCTAGCCAACCTGAGATGTGGCTGCCATTCATAAAAAACTCTGTTTGCTTATTCACCTCTTTTTCGTGTGTGTCTGCTGGTATTGGTATTGGAATGTGTGTGTGTGTGTGTGTACCACCACATAGGCAACACCCGCAACAACGCAGTTAGTTGTTTTCATTCATGCCAAACAATTTTTGTTGCCTTTTTTTTCTTTCTGTTACTTTTTTCTTCTTTTATGAATGAAAATATACGTAACAAGCAACTCGGGAGTCTGTTAGTTCGTCCGTGACGGTTTTTTCTTTCATGAATGAAAAATTGCACAGAAATAACCAACGCACACAGCAATGGAAAGCAAGAAAACAAAATAGATATCTTTGACGTGCGAAAGCACCCAATACACTAGCAGACCCACATATACACTGCAGTAATATGATAGGGTCTGAAAGTCAGTCTTATAATAGAATTAATGGAGCTGCTGTGTTTATTTATAGTTAACGTTCGCAGAATCACAGTTACAGCTGCGTGGGGTTATATAATGCAGGCAGATACATAACCGCTAGGAAAAACTATTATGCGAAAGCGGCAAAGGGCGAAATCAAATGAAAGATGGGAGGTTGAGGTTACACGAGAAAAACTTGAGCAAAGGCATCTAAATTGGTTATGGTTATAATTATATATATAGGTATATCTATATTTATGCCTATTTATAGATACATACATATATATCTTGTAATGGAGACAATATTTGTATGTATGTTGAAAGGTCTTTATTTAAACGTTAATAGATAGATATACCTATAAATATAGCTGTAACCTAAGTCAATATCCACATTTATAACTGTATTCAATTTTGAAACGTCAATCAATCAATCGGCTTTGTTATACATGCATAAGTATACATAAGTATATTATGCCTGCAATACGATTTCTTACTTAACTTTAGAAGTAATTAAATCATGCATCGGAACTGACAAATTGCAAATTGCTTGACAAATTTAAAGTACTCTCTGCATAGGGTATATAAGTGAAAACGCATGCAACTGGCGAGTGGCTGCTGTTGAGTAAGTTTCGTTTAATACAGGTATTTGGGCTGTAATTGTAACTACGCAGCCATCAACATGTTGTTGTTGTTTTTGTTGTTGTTGTTGCTGCCGATGTTGCTACTTTTGCGGTTGCTTTTGCCTTAATTGTTAGTCGCTATGCTGCTGCGGGCGTCGACGTCATTGAATACTCTATCTAGTAGAGGCTACGTACATACATACTACATACCTACGCTGATAGGGTTGTGTAGGTAATTTGATTCCCCTATGCATTTTAATTAAAAGTCAACAACACTCGCACACGCTCACGCACACACTCACACACATACACTCGCAGTCATGGCGAGTTTCGCAAGCCGAGGCACTCTGCCATGCTTAGCGCGAAGCGTTGCCAACAATTTGTAATCGAGACGTACTTGCATGCAAATATGCGATTGCATTGGCAACGCGCATCGCCCACTACAAAATGCAAAGTCAGGAGAATATAAAAAGTCACCACGAAAAAGAAGAAGAAGTAGAACAAGCAGTAGCAGTAGCAGAAGCCAGCTGAAACAATGAATTGATTAGCCCTTTCGCAATTCTAATAATTGCTGTTTCTCATTACAACAACTTTGTAGAGCTGGTCGAAGAGTAAAAGTTAAGAAGAACAACAACAATGTCAAGAAATGGTGCACAAAACGAATGAAAATTGTAGTCCATTGTGCAAAGGCAAACAACTAAATTAGCTGTCTCGCTCTAGCTCTAACACACGCGCTCTCCACCACCTCCCTCTCAACCCTCTCACTGGATCCCGCTCTCTCTCTCTCTCTCTCTCTCTCTCTCTCTCTCTCTCGGTCTCGCGCTGGCTAGCCCACTTTCTTACTCCATGGCGCGTTCGCTGAATTTAATGAATGAATTTTATTTTGTGCGCTTTTTCTCATGTTTTGCGGCACATGTACTATATATCTACATATAGGCTATAAAAGAATGAAAGGAAGGAAGTGAGCGAAGAAGCAGACAATGCCAACGTTTTCATTAATGCGACGTAGCCGCTGCCAAGAACACAAAAAACCAACAACAAGAGCGTCAATATAAAAACAAGAAAAAGAAAAAACAAAACTTAATTGTCGGTTTGTCGAAGACCAAATACCCTAGGAAAGAATTCAATTAAGATTTGGCAATAGCGGCTGTGTAGAACAAGAGAGAAGCGCTGTAAGATGAGTGCATAAACTTTTAGATCATATCATAGATAGATATTTGAGAATCAAATCCACAACTATTTCATATTTGTTAAACAATTTATTTCAAGGCGTTACACATTTAATGCTTAAGTAAAAATACCGCCTGAAAGGGTATACAAAACAAATGAATGAGTGAACAAACGAGCGAGTGAATGAGTAAATGAATGAATGAGTAAATGTACGTATAAATGAAAACAAAAACAAAACAACAACAACAACGGAAGTAATTCTTCCTGCATCGCACAGAGACATACACACATACAAGCATACACACAGACACACACACATACTGGCAGCTTGAAGAGCTTATTGCTTAATTTTCATTCATAAACACGTTGCGACCGCATTTTTAATGAAATCAACAGCGCGAAGGCAGTGAAGGAAGTTGGCCCAAAATGTAAATAATAGATGTGCATAAGAACGGAAGTTGACCGGAACGTGCAGAACTAAAGAAGGGTAGCAACAATAAGAAATAAAATGAAGAAAAAAAAAAACAATAAAAATAAACAGCAATTATCCAATTTGTAATTTCAAGCTGCTATTTAGCCATGCAGACACGAACTCTGAACAGTGTTGGCAACTGCCGCAGCTGAATACAGTGTTAATATTAGCTAAAAATAGCTGAATTATGATATGAATTGATATAAACAGGGTTGTATTTGCATATGTTTTTGAGATTCCAGCTATTTACGGCTGATGACGCTGAAAACAGCCAAGTTTAGCTAGAAAATAGCTGATCTGACAGCACTAACTCTTCCGCTGACTGATCTTGGTTTTAAAATGAACTCTTTAAGAGCGCCTCTCAGCCATGACAACAACCCTTGCCCTGACCTCACGCCTCGTGCCTGTGGCCACCTTTAGAACGTGAAGTGCTGACGTCAGCAATTTGTCTGTAGGTGTCAGTTTGCTGGCAACTCGACCTTTTACCTTTTGCACCCGTTGTCGTATCGATGTCGTTCTGTGCGTTTTATCTAATTAGCTTTGCATCTGCTATTACGCATTTTCTCTCCGCCCACTATTTTTGCGAACTTTCCAGCTGCGTGGTGCGTCAGAATTTGAAATTCGATTATGGTTGAAGAGAAACGCTTTGATTGTTTTCGCAAAATATTGTCACATTTTTGTTATCATTTCCGTTGGCCGCATTTTAATAGGCATTTATATTCAGAGGTATTTAACTTCAAGCACGTGCAAATATAAGTCGGGGTATAGTCAAGATAGGACTTAAATACACATAAACTAAAAATAATAGACTAATAAAATGGAATATGTGAAACAAATATATTTTGTAAAGCAATTTGTATTTGTTCAAGAGCTTTAAATTGTGTTAAAGAAACGGCATTAAAATCGGCTTAGTTTTAATTAGGTTCTGGGAGGTCTAGGCATAAATCATATCTCTTGTATCTGTATCTGTTACTCAATTGTATCTGTATCTCTGTCTCTTTTACAGTATTCCGCCATACGCATTGGGCCCGTGGTCAAGCGTGATGTGATGAAG